TTGAGAAGATATACTCAGAATACGTCTAAAATCATGATGGAAACTCATTACGAAGAATGCTCTTAATTAGATTGTTATGCTTCTCATTACTTCAGCTTCGACTATTAGTGGTAGAAATTACTTTCTTCATTTCAAACTTGTTATACACAGGTACAATAAGTAATGTTGTTTATCATTTACTTTTCATTTGTAACACGTACGCATTGTAATTATCAGTTATCTATTGATATGCAATAAGTGATCAATACCAACATTCATTATTTCCTAAAAATGGACAAATCGATGATTTATTACTGAGTATTACGTGATTTAAATATGCTCGATTACATATAAATACTACAGACTACGTAGTTCAGCTAACAACGACGCAGTATGCGATAGAGGTGCTACTCACTGAGAACGTAACAATAGTATAACTTCAAGTTACAACTTATTTTGTGACAATCACAGCTAAACGGAACAATATGGTTTAAACGTTTGTTTTTCTGAAAAAAAACGGCATTAAGGCGTATTTAACGATTTCGGTCAGAGTTTTGTAAGATAAACTGTTATGAGGCGTTTAATGTAAAAATCTCGTCGATAAACACGTTTAAACGTCTTCGGGACCGTTAAAGGTCTGTCCGAGTTACATCTAGTAAGCATTTCTTCAAAACTGAAGATCTGAGTCTCAGTCCATGCCTATCAAGAGCAGCCTATATTTTGAATTTGTTGGTTTGGTGTTGAGAGGTATAATTTGATCTGTATACATCTAACCGTTCTTTACGTACAATGCAATATCTTTCATCAGTAGATAAGTATGATTTAAGTTTCACAAGATAGAATCTAAAATAAGGACATATATGTCAAACCTAAAAGTTGAATTTAACTATTCGATAAATGTACCAAAAAAGGATAGACATACGAGACAACACATGCATGTCAAAGGTGAAAGTTGAATTTAACTATTTTATTATTGAATAGTTGAACACTTATTGAAAAGTAAAACGCGTTGACAGAAAAAAATAGTGGTCTTTGCAACCCGTTTATTTCTCGTTTCTGACTGCTTGCGTAGATAGCATGATAGAATTGAGATAAATGAATATATCAAAGAAATATGAGACAGATACGAAATAGTGAATGAACGGGACCAAAAACTGACATCCATTGACAAATCGATCCGCTTGAGAAAAGTTGATCATGTCTATTTCAATCATTTTCTATTATCGTGGCATTTTGCCACTAAGTATATAATATTAAAAACAGTTTCTTCTGTTTTTTCAATCTGCCTAATAATTTACTCATTAATCTCAACTGATCGAAGCAAAAAAACGTTCTGAGTACTTCCAGTGTTGTGTCGTTATTGATTGAATTTGTTATGTTTATTGCACTGTTCGCTTTCTTTTTCAAATAATTCGTTTATTTTTCAGCTTGGTAACACTCTCTGTTCTGCTTCTATTTGCTTTGCCTTCTCTTTTTCGTGTTTTTCTTTTGAAATTCCTCCCAAATATGCTCTCTAATCCAAAGGACTGCACATAGCAACAGTAAAATATTCACAGACAAAGTAGACAAAGAGCGATGGCAAAGAAACAAAAAGAATTTTACTTGTTCAATGAAACTCATTGCACATTGTGCCAATAATAAGGGTACGACCTATGTTCATCTTTTATCGGTTCAACGATGTGAGAGCACTCGGTCACTGTGCTGCTAGATACTCTGACCTCACTGACCATAAAAGATTTCGGATCACTCCGTCCTCTCTTCTCGCTTTTCTCTCGTGCATAAGCTTGTGTTTTATGCGAAGTAGATACAACTGGAGTGATGGAATAGTGTACTGAGCGTCTATGCCAAGGGTGGCGGTAAGGGTACTCCTTCAATTTGTCATTATTGATCACAATAAAATATTTATTGCAATAATAACCAAATAGAACACTATATCATATCTCTCTCTCTCTCTCATTTTCGTTTCACATATGGAGTATATTGATCGATATCCATTTCTGTATGATTTAAGGTGATGGGAATCATACAAAAATAGACAGCGACTAGCAGTGAGACACGTCGTTGTACCTGTATTCGATGATTCAATTACTGATATACAGTTAACAGAGCATGATTGTTCTTAAAATGTTTTTGCATTTTATTTCATACTATTATGAATACAACTAAAATTATCATGAGCATGAGAAATTTTTCTATAAAATGATACGAAGATTGATGATATTTAGTGTAGTTTTTCTTTTGAATTTCACTAGATATTTTAGAAGACCCTACATTTCATCTTATTTCTCAATAGAAGAGAGGGAAAAAGAAAACCTTTTTATTTAGGCATTTAAAGTTAGACTTCAAATATCTTAACATTACCACAAGAATCTTTAGAAAAAAGTCTTTAAACTTAGTTTAATATGAGAATAAAAAGTTGAAATAGTAGGTATGGGGTACTTTAAATTCTGAGGGGTATAAGAGAGATTTTATTGAGTGCTCTCTATCGGCTACGTAAGAAAAAGAAAGATTTATGACGCAGATGGAAATCTAGACGCATCCTGAATTTTTGTTTTAATAATTTCTAATAATCAAAAGATATTGATACAGATGGTATCGAAATTGAAAGAAATCACGAACGATTTATTCATTGGGTATTTCCATGGAATTTCTACCATGTTATACAAAAGTATCTCGTATCAACGAGAAACTTTCAGTGTTTGTAGAGCTCGATTAGGTGATCATTTTGATGTATTCAAATTGTAGAATATACCTTGATATTTATGATTTCCAGAAGTCGACTTTTCATCGCTTTTATCATGTAAAATTTTACAGATTATTTTCAGTGTTTTTCAATCGTTTTCTTCTAAGCGTTTATTATTCGCACATTTTTGAGCGTGCATTTGTGTTAGAAGGCTACTTTTATTCAATTTTTATTGTAATATCTGGAGCCATGTTGTTTCGAATTCTGGAACCACTCAGGAATGAATGAGAGAGTGCTAAAAGACTATGGATCTTCAACTATGATATCTTACAATAGTGAAAAAGAGGCAATACTAATTCGCCGACAAATTGTCTACATGCTTACACTCCCAGGTTGAATAGAACGGTCCATAAAAGGCTGTAAACGATTTGAAAACGGCTACCGTTTCGATGATCGTTAATAATGCAGCTTAAAACGGAGAAATACAGTGTTAAACAATAATTGTTACGACCATTGTTTCGGCGATCAGTTTTATCTCGTTTTCAGATAGAATCAAACAGGTATCTCATCAACATCATTAGATATTTTCTGATGATATTCGATAGATAAATCTTAATGATCTTATCTACCATTCCTGGTTAAACCAAATTCTAATGTTTAACGGAAGTGTTTTGTTGAGATTTATTCAACGATATGATTTGCACTCTACAAAACTTTCTCTATTTTTGTGCCACAATGATTGACATGATATTAATATTGAGCCATGAAGTAAATGCACACATCTTCACATATTCTTCGTTCGTTGCTATTTTTCATACGTAAGTTCTACAGATGATAGAGCCTAGTCTTTTGTCTGCTAGATGCCTAGTAAGAAGTGTATCCAAACTCCATTGATGTTACGCATCGCATATAGAAAAAACAGCTAGCAAACGTTAAAAGACGACGAAAGACGACTGTAGTGAGTTACTTGTTAAAAAATACATCCTTGACATTATAGTTTTTCTTTTATTAGTGAACTACTTTACTTAAAACAATGTGTAATGATACTCTTACACACACTAGGTATGATTATTGCGTCTGTATGCGCCATGTTTTCCTATATCTACTTGGGAGATAGGGTATGATGATAAATCCATATGCATGAATATTGTTTTAGCTATGTATAACAAAAGACGGTGTAAAAACGACAGTATACGATGAAAGTACGACCCTAAACAGTGATTGTTTTTCATCGTTTATGGTAGTAGTCGCACCAGTTTCAAACCGTTTTAAGCAGTTTTGATGTCGTTTCAGAAGGTCTGAATGATTGGTCTGGGCTGGCTACAGAAGTGATTGGTCCAATTCATTTGAGGTTTTTTTTTGTAAAACCAACTAATTCATACCCAGATAATATTTTTGATAAAGATGAAACTTACAGGTTTAAAAATCATATTATTTATTATAAAAATATACAAATAGATGTTGCCATTCGATTGTAACATTAAGTTGGAAGTAAAGATCTTGTATAATTTTGTTTTCAAATAGTTTGAAACTGTAGTGTAATTAGACAATAGCTGATGAATAAAAATGATGTTTAGTTGTAAAACATCTAATAATTAGTCAAATATACTTTTACGGAGACGAAATTTTGTTGTAACGTGACAAGTCGACTTATCATATAAGAATTTAAACTGAAAATTATAGAAAATAAAAAATAGCAGCATCTTGGATAGGTTGACTTATTCTTTGGAATAATAAATAAAGGAGACTACAGATGCCTTAAAAGAACTTTTGCAGATAAGTCGATTTATCTTAATGAGACAAGTCAACTTGTCACGTTACAACAAAATTTCGCCTCCGTAAAAGTATATTTGACTAATTATTAGATATTTTACAACTAAACATCATTTTTTTTTCATCAGCTATTGTCTAATTACACTACAGTTTCAAACTATTTGGAAACAAAATTATGCAAGATCTTTTCTTCCAACTTAATGTTACAATCGAATGGCAACATTTATTTGTATATTTTTATAATAAATAATATGATTTTTAAACCTGTAGGTTTCATCTTTATCAAAAATATTATCTAGGTATGAATTAATTAATTTTACGAAAAAAAAATGAAATGAATTGGACTAATCACATTCGTCAGCAGTGTAGATATGTATGTAGGTAGTTTGTCGGCAAATTGTCATTACCCTTCGAGTGATAAATAATAGCTGTTCTATCATCTTTTATTCGAGTAATAAATAAAAAAGGCCTGTTATATACATTCATATACGTATATATAAAACGTATCTTAATAGAATCAATCGATAATCACAATTGTTAAAAAAGAGATTACAAAAATAACTTATCAAAACCATTGACTTCGTACAATAGCCCATATTCTTTCTTCAACATGAGCTGGTTTGAGATCATTAAATGTAATTGGACTTAATGAAGATAATTCATGATAGAATTCTTCTGAATAATATTCTGGTAAGCGAGATGCAGCTTCTAAAACTAATACAATAGAAAACATCATCATTGAAACTCGAATATATTGAGCTAATGTAACACCAGTTTTTCGATCTGAAACTGTACGTTGATCATCACTAAATTTTTCATGTGCTGGTGCACAATAACAATATTGTATAAGACGTGCTGTTGGTGCATCTAATGTTCGACATTCGGCAAGAGTTTGAGTAAAAACTGTTCGATGATTATTTTTCATATCTTCTTTTACATCCTTAAAAAAAAAACGAAAATATTCTTTTAAAAATTACTTTAAGTGTTTAAAATTTAAACTTGTAAATCATCAAGTAATTGTAAACCAAATCCTAAATATTCTAAATAAGCCATTTTAGTTCTTGTTAATCGTCCTTCAATTAAGAATCCAGCAGCTATTAATGATGCACCACCTTTTTCTGCACTAACTTGTTCAACTTGTGTCATTGTTGGTGCATAATCATCTTCAGCTCTTGCATGTTGTAATGTTGATTTCATTTGTGATTCATGTATTGCAGCTAAACTCATATAAACACCTTCATATTCACTACCACGCCTCCAATCATTTTCAATAAATTTAACCATATCAAATATTTTTACTATAAGATTAGCTTGTGATTGTAATGATGGTGGTAAATTTAAATCAGAAACATTTGATTGTTTTCCATCAAAATGTACCGTAGGATCATATGTTGGTTCACCAATTAGTAGTCGTTCATGAAAAAGTTTTGCAAAATCGGCTTTTGCTTCTCGACTTATATCATTACAATCGACTAAATCATCTGTATATGGATAAAGCATATTATAACCAAATATAGAATCAGTTAAAACTAAAGATAAGTTAAGTTGCATTTGAAATGCTATCATAAACCAAACAGTTCGACCAGCTTTAAATAATTCTTCATAACTAATCGTTTCATCATATCGTTGTCCTTTATCAAGAAACTCTGTAGTGATTCGACCCATTGATTGATATATACTATAAAGAGATTCGTCTCTTAATGTGGGTACGTTTAATGTTTCATTCCATAGTTGAAAACCTGAACCACAAAAAATGAAATCAAGTTTTCATCAAAACATATTTTTCTGTTTTTGTTTTCGTTTCAAAACTGCTATCTTAGAATAAAAAAAAAAAAAAATCAAACAAAAATTTTCTATGATCTATGTCAAAACATTAATTTTTCACGTGATCATTTTGAATTTCATTCTTTGACGTAAACGAATAATAATCTAATATATATTCTTTCAATAATTTCTTGATTAATCGTGAAATTTATTTTTTTGTTTTGTTTTGTTTTTTCTACTTACCTTTTGAATGAATTTTCTTTTTGAGAAATGTTTTCTTGAACAATGTACAATAAAAAGCAAAAAATTTCATTTTTCTTAAACGTGCTCGTTGTTGTTTAGGTGTTTGTCGTCTGACTAGATTGTTATCAGTTGTTGGTAGACAATTAGGTAAAGAATACCATAATTTTAATGTATTATCATAATTTAATTTCAATCTTTCTTTTTGAAATTCTTCATATGTTTTAAATTCAAAGTATGTCTCAGTATCTAATTTATCCATCTACAAAAACAAAATAAAATGGTACATAAATTTATTCATAAGATTTTATTGAAAAAATAAAATCATTTGTTTTGTTTTTAGTAATATGATCAAACAATTGTAGAATTTTATCGATATTTCTTATTTTCCGTCAACTGATTTTTCTTCTTCTATACTTCCTCCTATTTTTCCTCCAAGGATATTTTATAGAAGAACGAAAACGTAAGTTAATGTAATGTTATGGTCACGGTTGATGGTGACAAGCAATAGCTTTTGTTAAAGAATAGAATAAAAACAGAAAGCGGAAAGAAAAAAAAAATAATAGGACGCTTTCTCAAGTGGATGAGGAAATTTGATGAATCATTAACGTAAGAAAAGTATGTGATTCATGTAGAACTATCTGTTTTTGACTTTAGTCATAAATTTGAAGTGAATAAGTGACAGAGTGCAAAATAGAATGTTATTTATTCAGGAGCGAAAAATGCATCCGTGCTTTTTATTTTGATTAATGAACAAAAGATATTGGATGCGAACTAGATATGCATCAATCTTAGTCAAAACAATATTCTATCGAACTGGTACTTTTGAGATTGATGTCCAATAGAACTATTAATCATTCGAATTGATATGAAGTCTCGTTCATGTGTAGTTGGCTTAGAATCTAAATAGGTTGTTATCTAATTGGACTGAGACTCGTACACATCGTATATATTGATGAAATGTTGATATGCTATTTTTGTTTTACATAATGGATGAAGGTATGCAAACGATTATCATCTTTCTCTTCTTCAGATAGACCCATTTGTACCATGTAGATTGTTTTCATCAATATCAAAAAGACAATTAAACAGTACATTGTACTGGATTGCTTCATTGCCACTGGTTGATTTTCGACGCTTGAGGAGAAAGTGGTGAATGAATATGAACAAGTAATCAAATGGTATTTTTGTACAATTGTGCTTCGCCTTTATATAACTATAGATCCCTTAACGAGGAGAAATTTCCAAAAAAAAATATTTTCTTTCCATGACTGGCGAGAGAGATAGGTTTATTTTTTTCTCGTAGGTAATGGTACATATCGTAATAAATGCAGGAGAACATCATGCACATACCGGGTGAGTCATAATGATTGCTACATTTAGTATTTTACGAATATCTCGGCAGAAATAAATCGTACAATATTGATTCTTTTTTTCAGAAGATGCGCCGTGAAAAGCTCTACAAAAACTGTATGAACGAATCCCTATTGACTTGCTCTGATGACTTGTCTAGTTGGTTAAAATTAAAGACCGGTGTAATATTGTCATCGAGTGTTCAAAAATATTTACAATATTTTTTATTTCGCATAAATCTCGGCTTAAGAAAATGCTAGAATCTTGGTTTTCTTTTTAAAAGATGTCCCATGAAAAGCTCTACAAAAACTGTAAGAATAAATCCCTATTGACGTCCTTCGATGATGTCTTCGATACTCAAAATGGGCAGATCACATGACGGTGCTATGTTCCATCGTATTCAGCATAACAAAAATATGTGGAAAACTTTTTTTATTTTGCGAATATCTCGACTTGGGAAAATGATAACGTCTTGATTTTTTTTCAAAAGATGTGCCATCGAAAGCTCTACAAAAGCTATATGAACAACTTCCTATTGCAAAACAAAAAAGTCTTCCAAATATTTAATACGATGGGACATAGCACCATCATTTGACCTATGAATTTTGAATATGGGAGACACCATCAGAACAAGTCGATAGAAATTTGTCTTTACAATTTTTGTAGAGCTTTTCACGGCGCATCTTTTTAAAAAGAATCATTATTGTACGATTTATCTCTGCCGAGATATTCGCAAAATACTAAATGTTGCAATCATTATGACTCACCCGGTATATTCACAGTAACACTTTTCTATGCATTCAAATAGTTCTTTTCTTCTTCTTTTTTCTATTCCCATATGACTGTACATGATAATAAAAGAGCAGTGTAATCAACGATTATGCATCTGCGACATTTATTTAGTCATGAGATAGTTTTTTCCTGTTCAAAAACAAATAAGGACATTTCTCATTGATTATCTCAGAGGAGAGCGAGAGAAAAACCATGCTGATGTGGCTATTTTTTATGGCCTACATTTTCTTTGGATGCAGTCATGAGGATTTTCTCTCTCGTTATCTATAGAAATATACATATGTGTTTCTGTTCTTTTCCTTTCTCTTGTTGTTACTCATGTACTATGGACTTTTTTCTTTTCTGTCATATATGTTGAATTTTTCTTTTTCCTTCTGTTCTTCTTTTTTCGTTCATCGTTTATGAGGTTTTTCGTTAAGAATTTTCCTCATGTTATCGTCCTATACATGTATATATTCTTTAGATTGTTGCGAACAGGATCGATTGAATATAGATATACTTATAGAAATAAGTTACAAATAGAGTGAAGATCTCACACGACTCTCAGCAAAAATTAAATTAATATCGATGACAAGAGGGTAATACGGTTTATCCATATAACGCAGCATTCCGGGGGTCAAGTTTTTGAAAATCATTTTTTTTTTCGGATTGTACAGATTTGAATGCACTACTAAGCGCACTTTTTCATGCTAATTATGAATTTGATATTGTTTTTCTTTTTAAACTGGGTTTAGGCATTAAAAACCGGGTTTTAAAATTTCCAAAAAATGTTGAGTGGCATGCCATTTGATGCAGAATTTAATTCTCTACAAAATTACCAATTTATCCGTGACTTTTATCGCTAAGAACACCTTCTACATTCTTGCATAGTTTGCTACCTACGGAAAAGTTACTGAGCTCCCACTTTGATAGAGAAACTTGATTCTTGTGTAGAACGATTATACCAGATGTTTGCACACGTTCTATTTTGGAAATATCTCAGCATGAATAAATGATAAAGTCTTAAATTTTTTTTTGAAGATGTGCCGTGAAAAATTCTACAAAATCTCTATAAAGAAATCTCTATTGATTTGCTCTCCTGATTTTTTCTAGGCAGTTAAATGAGACGATCTACGTGATGTTATTATTTCTCGCTACATCGAGTATGACAGAAATGTAACAAACACTTTTAAAATTACTTCTTCATTTTAAAACAACATTTAGTAACAAGATAATAAAACATCAGGAAGCTATAATGAAACTTCATAAGTAGCAAGAATGTTCATCAATAATCAGCTCGCCGTTATGCTTTTCAACCGAATAAACTCTTCGAAGAAATGCACTAAGAACTTATCATACATAATTCAAGTCAATTTTGTTTTCCAAATTGCATTATTTCTCTTTCTAAATCATCTTCAACGTAACATTTTTGATAATTAATGTTCTTATTAATACAATCCCAGATGCAATAATCTAATGAATTTAATTCTGGTGAGTTTGAAGACCATCGATCTTTCGGAATGAACGACTTTAGATATTTTTCAAACCAGTCATCTGACTTTTCACTAGTATCAGTAGTTGCCACATCTTGTTGTAAATTACTATGTATTTCACCATTTAAACGTTCACCTATTTCAAAAAAGTAAAGAATTGTCAGTTCATGAAGTTTCTGAACAAATGTTCTTCGGTAAGGTATGGGCCTACTACTTCTCTTCCCCCGCGCACCCATAATGTCATAAGAAGACTTGGCTTTTGCTACCCTTCAGTTGTGTAAGCAATTTTATCTTTGAGAGTCTAATCAAAATACTAGAATATGAAGATTTTAAACCTTCCGCATGTTCAAGAATCATTTCGAACTTGGCTGTCGATAAAAAGTCTTTCAATCTCTTTGTATTCATTTCATTTTTCATAACAAGTTTTATCAAAATAAATTATATCTTTTTTCCAGCAATAATAATTCCTATTGAGTATATGTAGTCTATAAAAAAGACTGAACAAATTCTGGTTCTATCATAAATAGAAATATTTTAAAGAAATCATCAATTCATCGTAAAGATACAAACAGAATAATTTTCTGTTTTATACTGTCATTTTCTAACAGATTTAATCTCCCATATCCTAAATTACATTCTCTCACTTAGACAAGATTATTTTTTTCTTCAATCTCTTTGAATACATGCCAGGATAGTAAAAAAATACTTGCAATGAATGGAGAAAAGATGACAGGCAAAGAAACTTCAATAAAAAAATTTCTTTTTGAAAAAATCGAGTTAATATTTCACAGTATCCAAGCAATGAATAATGAAACATTATTGACGATTTTCGACGAATAGCCATTCTTTTAATGATTATAGGTCGGTTTTTTTGTTTTTGATGAAAGTAAGATTTTTCATCACACAATGATCAATACCATTATTAGGTGCTTGTGTCCTTTTTATATTCTTGCAGTGTCTATTTATTTAAGAAGCATGATACATTTTATATCAAACGAGAGTATTCGAATCTAATTTACATAAAAATACGTCAAGTACAAGTATAAGCATTACGGTATATCAAAGCTGATCGGCAAAAAATAACAATGCATTCTAAGTTCTGTTTGTTTGTTGTTATCGTCTTGATGACTGGTCTTCTGTCGAGTAAGTATCAGTTTAAGAAAAACTCTCAATTTTGAGTTGTTCTATAAATTATGATTTGCATTATTTATTTAAAATCAATTAAAACGTTCTAACAATCGTTTGTTTATTTTTCGAAAATTATCCAAGATATCAATACCATTTTGAATCGATTGTAAAACATTTTCAAACGATTTCTTTCGTCAAATAGAAATCAATAGAATGAATTTTATCATTCAGTCCTTGCTGAAACATTAGAACTCTGTCAGTAATGTTTGCTATACTTGTTATATAATGTTTTTATTGACAACCAATATTTTGAGAAGTCAATAGTAAGTCATTCCTTAAAATATAAGTAGCCATTTGTCGAAAAATTTAGGAAACTATCAGATGAAACCTAACGATGCTTAAAAGCTAAACATGATGAAGTCAAGAGGAATATCAGAACATTGTCTTATATACTTCCGGGGAAAGGATTTAGTCTGATTTGATGTACTAGTAGAAAATTATTGAATATAAATCAAGATTATTTTTGTTGCTCATGCTCAAAATGCAAATGTATTCTCCATTTCGAGGAAAAGTATAAATATTGCACGCGCACAAAACCAAAATAAAACATTTGGTGATGAAGTTAAATGATATATTCAAAATCATCCATCAGATTCCAATGAATCTGCTTGTTTTTTGCTTAAATATCCATAAAGCTAACTATTATGTGACTTTTGCACAAGAATAGGAATTATTGAATCTGACGAAAGGTATATTTTTTTAATATATTAAAGGAAGATTGTTTTTCAAACATCCTCAGGCAAATCCTCGAATAGATAATCTGTTTGATGTTGTAAAAAAAAAGGGAATCGAATGTCTTTTACTTTGGAAATATTGTTATAGAAAACACGAGATTCGAAGCAATCCTATGTGAATTTCCATATTATCAGACGTTCATTTCAAAGAAAGTCCGCCAAGAAGTTTGTTTAATGTTTTCTGTTTGCTTAATTCACTGATTTCATCAACAATGATTTTGAAAATTCTTTCGTTGCAAAAGTTGTATCTGAGAACAACATTCCTCCATATGTAGAATACGTATTTGAATTTTCTGGGCTTAATTATTGGTGCCTTGTTTGTTCTCAAAATGTTCTCCTATGATTTTGAAAAATGAGGTTTAAAAATGAACGAGACAGACTATACTGAATCTTTTTAAAATAAACACAATCCATTCTAACACTATTCAGAATCAATAAATAAATATTACTTTTCTATTTCAATGCGATAAGTCGAATAAATCAACTACTAATTGAGGGTGTGGGTGTTTTTGAAAAAATTTTGTTTTCGAAAATTGGACTTGAGGACCCTAGGGTTCGGGGCTGCAGACGGGAGACGGTTACCAAACTGTTACCAATTACCTGGAAACGTAACAGTAACGTCCCACACCCACCCACACCGTTTGAGTTCCCAATTCCCAATGAATTCCCATTGAGTTCCCGACTCCTGAGAACTTGGCCAGGCCTCATCTTTGCCAAATTTGATGACATTAAGTACAGTTGTTTTGCCTAAATGAAAATGCATCCAAATAGAATGTGGGCATATTCTTGAAATACGATTAATTCGCTGCTCATTGTGCTAACAAGTTTCTTACTGACCTATTGCATTTTCACTGAGATATGACGTTCACACAAAGTTCATTTTCTAGATTAACACTCTATAATAGAAATAGAAACTGTACGAAAAACAAGTCATTAGAAAAAAAAATCTGATAATCTAGAATGTTAGCATAGCAAAGTTCACTAAAGTATATATTACTCTACAATATGCATTTATTAGTTTTCTACCCAAAAATCAATAACACATCTAATCACTGTAGAAAAATGTTAAAATAATTTTTGCATAAGGATGTGGCTATAGATCTACACATTAACCGAACACCCACACCTTCTTATAAATAATTGTTCATAAAAATCAGTAAATTGAATTGAAAATAAAAGACCAGATAAGCGATGGTTCGAGATAGAGTTGCAAATCGATCTCGTTCTGCTAATGAATTAGCATCATATGATCAAAATAAACTTTTTTTTTCTATCAATTTCTCTATTTGTATCTAATGTCAGGCTAATATAATAGTAGAATGAGTGTATATCTATAGGTAGTCTCTAAACCGTGAGTTACAGTTCGAAATGAACACAAAGATGCATCTTGACATGCATGAAACGCCTCTTACATTCTACTATTGTTTATTGTTTCGAGTATATTAATAGGCTGCAAATGAGTGAAATAATAGGAAAATCCAACATATGTACCGACCGACGGAAGTCCAGATATAAGTACTGCCAATGATTTTTGGTGTTTATTAGAAGCGGCTACTAGCTTTCGATATGATAAATCCATTTTTGTCAATATAGAATTGTCAAAATCTTTTTGCTTTCTATTTAAAACAATTATGAACCTTTCGCTACACGTAGTCAAAATTAAACAGATATGGTGCAATTTCCTTGTGAGTCACCATCACCATCTTTCACTGAGCAATAGTCGTTCAAACTTTGTTCTTGGCTGTGTGTAGATGGTGGAAGATCTTTTTAATAAAATATCAACAATCACTTGGTAAAAGTTATTGTTCGAATTTCGAACAATGCACTACCATTGACAAGAATCATAATTCTCAATGAATTCAATAGAAAAGTTCGTTTTCAAGTAAAGAAAATAAAAGTATTATCAAATTTTTTTTCCTTCTATGAAGCTTGTTGTTGTAAATCTAACTGTACTAACAAATACTGTTTGGTACAATCTGGATTCATGTTATTGAAATATTTCCTGAACTTTTCAATATTATCTATGCTCAATTTTTTTTGTAATCGTCTGAGTTGTGCTACTTTGCGAACTATTTGAGCGGTAGTTGTCACCACTACAATGTTGCATTCGATTGATCGATGGTATGGGTGTCGGTTGTCGTTGATATTACTTTCATCTACACCCAGACCCTTGTGTTTCCTTCTTTCTGGTTAGTATACAAGTACAGAAAGTTTGAAAATATGAGTTCCTACATTGCTGTTGTCTAAGACGATTTTAAACTCATTGCTGCCAAGGGTGATTAACATAAACAATATTTTCGTACGCAATTCATGAGTTTTCAGAAATGTTGCACATATTTCGATCTAGTCTTCAATCTATTGCTTGCTAATTGTTCGTTAAACAGTATAAATGTTTACTGCAAAAATATAATGACAATATACGAGTGGTCAATCTAGGCAGCGACCAGAACAAGCTTTTTTTCTCGACGTAATTCTCAATAGCTTTTTTGTTATTTTTTCTTGAGAAATTATTTATTGCAACATAAAGAGAATATATTTGCAAAACATTGACTTTTATATGAAATTCTCGAGAGAACTAACTCAACTGCAACTCGCTATCTACACTCATATATGGGGCCCACAAAGAGATCTTGATAAGATTAGAAACCTTCTAAAAATGTCTCGTGCTTTTGGACTTTTGGAAGTTGAATTATGGTCGTTTTACTGTATGTTCATCATTTTGTTTAGGATGGTAGATACTATGAATTAATGACTGCTAAATCATTGCCATCAATTAAACTAATAAAAGATAAAGTGAAAGATATTCAACAGAGATAAATATATTTGTGATCTTTGTCGTTTTTTTCTCATTAGTTTTGTGTTTACGTTCAAGTTTGACTGAATGAAATTATCTTACACCATCTTCAGATGCTAGTTCGTCACGTTCTAAATTTCTCTAGGGTGTTACTCACAAGGAATGTGAAAAAAAAGTTTTAATCTTTGTGAAGAAATTAAACTACTTGTTATTGTTACTCAAATAAAGACGAGCAAATAAACTAGAACACAATTTAGATAACAAGGTTGACTAAAAAAATTAAGTACGACACAGTTTTAATTTTTCAGTTTTAATTTTAATTTTCGATCATTAGTACATTTGTGCAGTTCTGAAACATGCCACGAAATAGAGCAATTATACATCTAATAGATGAGTTAAAATGAGATATCTAATGGCATTAGTTCTTTTTGAATGCACTAGTTTATAGATCAATTCCTATCAAAAAAGCTGTTGAAACGATTCTCAAGATCGAAAGTGATATGTGGAGTTTATCGTAATC